AGATGCAAGATGACTTGCATCTGAAGAAGTGAGGTTCTTACCCACGAAAGCTTATGCTCCCAGTACTTCTGTTAGTCTCAAAGGTGCCACAGGACCCTCTGTTGCTTTTTATAAAATTTAGTCACCAGTCATCGTAATTGATTCTGAAATACAGCAGGAGTAATTGTATGACAACTAAAGAGTTTTCAGTTATCCCCTCTCTTCTTTTCACCTTTTGGATCCGCCTCTTCTTTTACCCCCCCCCCTCCCCAAATGCTATTTGGCTCTGACTTCTGTTTCTTTTGGAAATTTTATCTTCCTTTTTTCCACTTCCTCTCATTGTGCTTCACTTATTTGCTTTTTATTGTAGAGAAATTGTACCAGTGTCCCTCAACCGTCTAGAATTAAAACCCCATCTTTCATATTGTATTTGATCTGGAACAATAATTTTTCTAACCTCTTTTCAACTGCTTAGATATTTTATGGCTCAAACTGTGTCGGTCTCCCTCTGCATTTCTATTTTTTCCCCTTCAAGACTCCTTGTTCCACATTTCCAGAGACTGATTGACAGGAACAGGTTGGTAAGAAACTTCAGGACATGTTGTTAACATCTGACACTGTGGAAGAGAACTCAGCCCAATCACTGGGCACGTAAAGGGAAGTTGCACCTATTAGAGATGAAAGGAACTGTGCTTAATCGTTATTTACAAGTTACCTGAAACAAAACTCATCTAATCTCAGCTGTTTATTTCAACAAAAACTGTTTTTATCAATAAAGTGACTATTCTATCGTAACTTGGATTTATCTCGCAAAACAATCTAAAACTCAAAGCACAATACTTTGTAAATATCTCAGTTATTGTTTAATGAGTCTGAGGATATTCCTTATGGACAACGCGTCTGTTTTCCCAGCACTGGGAGCTAACAAAACAAATAATAGTGCAGTCATTGCATTTTCTTTGTACTCTTCCTTTAATATTAGAGCACACATTGAAACGATAAGCACAATGAAGAGCACAAAATGCTTCATCGGTGTGGTAACTGTATATTTCCTTTTTTTTCCTGAAGAAATATCAAGTTTTGGATGGTCACAGCCGCAGCAACGCTCACGTTCTGGACACCATACGTTTAAAACAGCTTTGTTACAGAGAAAACTGACTTAAGAACAATTTTTTAAAACATCAGATTTTAAAAAAGGGGGGAGGGAGAGAAATCTTACCGTTTAAAGACTGCTGCAGGTTCCAGCTCACTCTGAAACTGCAGGGGAAAGTGGAGCAGCTGCTGAACAAAAGTTTTTAGTTTTTTTTTTTTTTAGAAAGTCTGCAAAACTAATTTCCCACAAAATAGGGCTCAATTTCCGTTTAAGAAACTAGGTCTTGCAAATCTCATTCAATTCCTGATTTTTTCCAATAGTAATTGACATTCATTTTATCTTTCACACATGGACCTAAGAATTTAGACTTAAATTGCAGGAACCAAATGGTATCGGAATTTAGCGGGGAAGAACGAGGGTTTAAGAAAGGGAAAATATTTATGGTACTGATCATCACTTGATTTCTGATCAATAGCACTTTAATTTAAACCAACTGACTGTCATGTTCGCTGTCACCATTAATTCCATGAGCCATTTCAAAAGCATATTTAAAATTTTCCAGACACCTGAGACAATGAAAACAACAACCAAGTGAAACAAAACAAACTTTCAGATGCAGAGACTAGAAAGTGGTTTGAGATCCTGTTTTGAAATGGCAGAAAGCAGGGAACTGTTGTCTTTCATTGACCTGTTTCTGCAGCTCATTAACTGCCGGTCATTTCATTTTAAAACAAACGCCCTAACATCTCAGCTCTAGTTGCACCAAGCGCAAGTGCAGAAGTATCTGTGCTTAATACTTTTAATATTTTAAGACATCATCTTTGCAGCTGAAGACGCGCCATGTGAGCGGAACAAGTGAGTGACACGTCTCTTGCTGTAATTTATTAACCAGAGGGAATTGAAGTGGCAGGAGCCAGTGTGGTTATTTGCAGCAGTTTCAATTTATCAATGATAACCCGGCTGCTATTCCCATCTGCGCTTAGTTCCTTGCGGGGCACTGATCATTGCTCTAGTGCCGAGACAAGATTCTTTCTGATCGTTTTAGGGGAAAATATTCCTGTTTACAGATGAACGGCCAAAGGAAATCAAGGGGGACGTTTGCTGACAATACACCTGGGACTGCAGGTGAGGATGCCTGGAGGTTTGGATTTGAAGCTCCCCCTCTCCCCTCAAACACCCACTTCCCCCTGCGGAAAGGGGCCGCTTTATTCTGGAGGACAATCCCCTGCAGGTCCTGAACTCCACCTGCCCTTTCCCATAAACACCACGGCTCGTCGGGAAACACTTATTAAAGAGAGCGATCAGGACCAGAGGGGGCCAAATCCGGCTGCGAAGTGCAATTGATGGGGAGGAGGAGCTGAGAAAGCATCGGAGCGCCAGACCTGCCTGGAGCCTACATCAGAGGGCGACCCCCGGCCCGTTTGAAACTGGGCCGCGTGTTCACAGATGTATGTAGAAAACAGTGGGGGTGGGGACTGTGCCGTGCAATAAAGTGTCACTTTTACTTCTCCGGAGTTGCAGCGTTTCATGTGCTGCACGCCCCTGGGCCCCCCGGGGAAAATCTTATCCCGCCGCCTGTGTCAGACAGGATGAGCGGCCCGTCAGGGCTGTAGCGTGTTGATGCAAAGGGCTCGGCTCGCTGACTGTGCTGGAGTTGTGGAGGGAGTTTTTGCATGTGGTCAGTCGCTGTGTTGCTAAGCCAGCCCCCAGCTCACATTACACACGACTGTATTTATAACCTCTCCGAGCCGCTTCCCCGTGCAAGCAGTTCTCTGGGACCACCTTCTATTGGCGTTAACCTCTCCCACTTCTTGACATCTGAGTAGCTCTGAGAAAGCTCATCGAGGTCGAGTGTGTGTGTGTGTGTGTGTGTGTATGTGTGTGTGTTTTAATGCAACGGAGACTGGCCACTAGGGCTAAAGACCTGGATTATCTGAGCTCTGCTGCTGAAAAGTGTGTCGTTGCCGTTTTGGAAAAAAAAATCCCCAACCAAGCCCTATCTGTTTACAGTGCAAGTTGACAAAGGGTGGTGGAGTTGGATCCTTCCTAAACTCTCCTGCCTGGAACCTGAGACTTGCATGCCATGGATCACACACTCTTTGGCTGCCTGCGCAGCCCTCATGCCACCGCACAGGGCTTGCACCCGTTCTCACAGTCTTCTCTCGCCCTGCATGGAAGATCTGACCACATGTCCTACCCCGAGCTGTCTACTTCTTCCTCCTCGTGCATCATAGCGGGATACCCCAATGAAGAGGGCATGTTTGCCAGCCAGCATCACAGAGGGCACCACCATCACCACCACCACCACCACCATCACCACCAGCAGCAGCAGCAGCACCACCAGGCTTTGCAGACGAACTGGCACATTCCACAGATGTCTTCTCCCCCCGCCGCTGCCAGGCACAGCCTCTGCCTGCAGCCCGACTCTGGAGGTCCCCCGGAGCTGGGCAGTAGCCCCCCAGTCCTGTGTTCAAACTCCTCCAGCCTGGGTACGAATACCCCGACGGGGGCTGCATGTGCTCCCGGGGACTATGGCAGGCAGGCGCTGTCCCCGGTGGAAACAGATAAGAGGTCCGGCAAAAGGAAAAGCGACAGCTCAGGTAAAGGCTCGTCCTTTGCTATTCTTGCGGGTGCGGGGCGCGCGCGTGTGTGTGGATCCTCCTGGGGAGAGGGGTCTAGAGAGAAACCATGGGCTTGATGGAGGGACTGCACGTCCCAGCCTTAAGGCTCCCTTTCTTCCAAGCCTTTCTCTGAGGACAGCAGGCTTCAGAGAGTCACTAAAGCCGCGCTCGATGTCTCCATCATAAAGCAAGTTTATCTGGAGCATGGAAAAGAGTGAGCACGTGATAGACCGTGAAATCAATTGCCAGCAGTTGCCTACGGTCAGGAGGGGAAATGTTTGTAGGTTTGATTAGTATTTAGCATCTGGTATTGTGGTTCCTCCCTCCTTCCCCTCTGTTTCAAGATAGCTCTGCTCTTTCCCACCCCCATTCCCCTTTTGAGCCAGTGAAACATATTTCTGAACGCTTGCACAATCCTTGGAAACTTTTTCTTAGAACTGGAACTTTTCTCATGAATGCTAAGTATGTGTTGCATTCTAGGGTGCGTGTCTGTATAGAGCGTGTGTATAATATAGAATATAATTCATTACAGGGCATGAGTTGGAATTTATAAATCACCATGCAGTGAATCCCATTTTTACAACGCTTAGTATTTCATTTCATGTGCTTGGGCTTTCAGGAAGATTTTGCTGGACTTTTGATACACTGTTTTTGTTTTTTTAAGAAGGTGACATGGGATATGCGTATATGCAGCCTATACAGAAAGGTGAAGCTTTATTATACTTTGAGTTTTATATCCCACAACTGAACAGATTTAGGTTTTCAAAGTGGGGAAAGAAACTCACAAAATCCCATACTAACAAAAGACAATGATTAAGGGGCAATACAATAGTTGCAATTGATGACATTTTTATTGTACATTCAAAATATTGCAAATGCAAGAGCAGACATACCAACAAAGCTGTTTTCTAATAGTGAAGAGAAAATGAAAGGATTTTCCCGATATTTTCTAAAGTTCACAATTGGAAGCATGACCCTGATTCACTTGAAATGTCATTAATCAGGTTTTTAGAAGTTATGGAAAGTTTGCTCATTTTAAAACCTCTTTTTGCAGTTACATTATATTTTCTTCTTTGCAATTCTCCATGTCAATTACACTAGGAAAGTTTTACTAGTGTAAATCAGGATAGGTTTGTAGCATTTTACTTACTGTTACTATATAGGCTGAAAAAAGTTCTCCAAAATAGAAAAATCTGTCATTCACAGACACTTGCAGTTTGATTTGCAATTATACCTTCACTGTGTTTTTAAGCAAACTTGCATCATTGATCATGTGAGGTCTGAGGAATATTAGATTTTTTAACCTGAGTTTTTGAAGGGAAGTAATTTTATGCTGGGTTGTCGGGGGGATCAGTAAATTTGTCAGTCATTTACAAATGTAGAAAATTAGAAGAAAACACATCTGTGCTTCACAATACTAGGAAATGTTGATGTTGCTTTCCGTATTTTGCAATGCAAACACACAAATCCATGGGCATTAGGTGGGACTTTGTTGAAGTCAATGGAATCTTTCCATTGACTTTAATGTGCAGTAGATTGAGCCCTTAATAATGATCATGCTGATATAACAACATAGTCTGGAGTTAACTTTCTAAAACAATGTCTGTATACAACCCCAAAATCATAGTACAGCATATAACTCCCCCTTCCTGCCCCTGAAAAAATATCAACTATGTTAATGTATTCTGAATGTCTTGATCTAACAAGTCTCTTTAGACAATGATGCAATAGTCACAATATTTCATTATTTTTGAAGAATATTGTTTTCAGATCACAATATTTTACCACGCCATTCTTTTGTTTTAATCTGAACTTCTGTGCTGAATATTTGATATCAGTGTAATTTATGGCAGCAAATCTCATTTTTTAGGGCAGTCAGTGTATTTTTGCAGTTACCGGCGGCAATTGCTGTTCGTTTTACTATATTGAACAAGGAATGTATGTGATGGATCATTCTTTTTGTTTCCTGAATCAAATTGCCATATGTTTTTAAAACATAACTGACTTTTTTATTTAATGCTTATCATTTAGAGAACTTTTAGCCACCTTCCCCATTTATAAACTTCTTGAGTAAATGTTTACAATTAATTATAAATTTAGAATAAATAGCTAATAGGTAAACAAAGAGGCTGTTCAGGTATAGCATCAGCAGTTTCAGAAACTAGCTAATTAAGCACTGGTGCATATTTAGAGAGATACTTTCTTACCTCTATTTACCACTAAAGACAACAGAATATTTTGAGGATATTCCTATGCTCTGAACATGTCCCCGGTTTTTGAACTAAATTAGCCTTGGGGCCATCCCAGTTTTGCGGTATCCGGCTTTCATTAATATAAACTGTTGACATCAGAAATGTTAACTCATAAAGTTGAGTTTTGACAGTTGTCTATTCTAAAGAAACCAACACAACATCAATTAAAGCTACATGCATTATTTTTATTTCCCAAAAATGCTATATTTATTCACCCCTTACAATTGTCATGAAAATTTCCCAGTGAAGATGTGCATTTTTTCATGTTTATCTTTACCATGATGATAATGGGGAAAAGAACACTAATGCTATTTTATTTGTCCATCAAAAAATTACTCTTTAAAGTCTCATACTCCTGTACACAGGTGAATGGAGAGGGGGAATCACTTTTTTTGTGTGTGTGTATACTTTGTCATAATTTTGTTCCTTGCTTAGAAAACAAGGTTAAATGTGCCTTAGAAATTATTTAGGTCGAATGACTGATTTTGGATCCCATACTGGGGCCTGAGCAGGCTGGGAAATAACTTCTGAAGATAATGTTCAATAAACTGCTGCATAAACATGGAGAAACTGTCAACTCTGTATACAAGATTTGTGAATTATATGATAGTGGGAAATACCTCTTATTCATCTCTTCCTGGATGCAGCAGGCCAACCTGCCTGGGTCCAAATGTGGGACCGTAAACCAGCATGCAGGGATATACACACAGCCCTTTAAACATTGTGAGTTCATTTCTTTCAAATAAACATTTCTGATGTCAACAACAGTAAAAAAAAATAAGATGCCACAACATTATGATGTATGCTGCAAACAAATTTATTTATTTTACAATGCAGTAACAGCCAAGATATTTGAGTGCTAATGAGAGGTAGATGAAACAATATTCAATGAATAAGAAAAATATCCCTAAAATGTGTTGTTGCTTTATATGGTATGACTTCTTTCATGAGGTATAATTTGGATATTTTCCCTCTCATAAATTGCCTGTGACTTCTGAAGCCATTTAATTTCACCATGGTAAAATAACAGGTGTTGTTTACAGAGGATATAAAACAAGTAACAAATGCAAAACTATTATAGTGGTTGTCTAAGTCAACTTATTTGTGTCTAAATTTTCTTAAAACATCCATTATTTTAGGAAAGATGTGAGCCCAGACACACCTTGGAGACACAAAGTGTAATCTGGATTTCATGTGAAAGCAATTAACTTTCTGAATATTTTAGGAAGTCTGAATTTCAATGGGAAAAATCTGAAAAGCTCCTACTATTTGGGGGAGAACTTCACAGCATAACTATTAGATATGCAACAATCTAAATGGATTGGGATATCTATTAGGCTAGATGAATATATATTAAGATATACCTAGCTCATAGAGCTGGAAAGGTCATTGAGTCCAGCCCCCTGCCTTCACTAGCAGGACCAAGTACTGAT